ACACACACACACACACACACACACACACACACACACACACACACACAATTTAGTCTATGGATATTCAGTAGTAAAACATTTGCCTAGTGTGAGCAAAGCCCTGGGTTTCATCTTCAATACCAGAAAAAAATAAAATCAACTGTTAGAAGTTCCATGTTGCTCTGGTGTTTTCTTCTCAGAAGAATAAACAAATGAACAAACAAACAAACAACAACAACAACAACAAAACCCTTAAAAGTAGCTCAAGAGCCAAGGCGGCTTCTGAGATGACCCTACAGAGGCTCTTTTTGAAGACTGGGTCTCAGTATAGATCAATGGCCAGCTTGGAACTCAATATGTAAACCAGGCTGGTCTCAAACTCAGAGGAATCTGCCTGCCTCTGCTCCCTGAGGGCTGGCATTAAAGGCGTGTGCCACCATGCTCAGTCAATCTTGTTGTTTGAGACAGAGAATATCAGGTCATCCAGGCCTCAAAGTTACTACGTGGCAGAGGATGACTTTGAACTCCTCCTGTTTCCACTTCCAAAGTGCTGGAATTACAGGCAGGTGCCATCATATTCAACTGAGGACTTTTTTTTTTTCTTTAAACAAAGACAGATGTTCTGTCCTCTCCAGAAGGACAGAACTGCAAGATCTCGATGTACAGGTTCCACAAACAGCAGAAGAAAGCCCTACCTGGGACAGAACCACATTGTCACACGTCCTCTGCCCTCCTTTCCCCCTCAAGAGGAAAGACATACACAGGCCCCCATCAGGGCAGCGATCGTGGGTGCAGCATTTCTCTGCCACCCCGGCCACTGAGGAACTGCTGCCGCCGCCACCGCTGACAGTAAGGAGCACTGAAGTAGCATCACGACTAAAGATTCCTATGTGGCAGGGCCTGTGCCAACAGCCTTCAGCTCTCCCGGTCATACCCATTTACCGATGGGAAAGTTGAGCCGAGGACGTGTCAGGTCTAGATCCAAATCTCGGTACCAACTGACTCCAAGCCAAAGCAAGATGACCCCTGTTTCCAAACAGTCTTCATGACTTCCAAAGCTGGGTCCTGGGAGCTGTGGGGCCAGTTCAGTTGACGAAATGCTTACTATGCAACTGTGAGGACCCGAGTTTGATTCCCAGCGCCCAGGCGAAGAGCTAGGGGCAGTATTGCAGGCTTGCAATGCCAGTGCTGGGAAAGCAAAGACAGGTAGGTCCCCAGAGCTTGGTGGGACACTAGCTTAGCCAAACCAGTGGGTCCCAGGTGCAAGCGAGTGAGTGAGTGCTTCTGAGGAATGAATGAAAGCTGAGATTGACCTCTGACCTTCATGTGCAAGGACACATGCACATATATATATATACACCCCACCCCGCAAGCTGTTCTGTTAGAAATCAGGTCTGTGTTTGAGAGAGTTTGGCGGAGGGAAAGATACTGGGTAGAGGAGGCCGCAGCCTGCCTGTATGGAACAGAGGTAAATACAGGATTGTGCATTGGTCAAAAGCCTTAGGGCTACACAACAGAGAGCACGGACTTTAGCGGCTAAAACTAAAGGCCTCCCAGGAAGCCAGAGACTCCCAAGATGCAATGCAGGCTATGGCCAATGAATCTGACTATCCTCCCTCATCTGCAGGGATTCATGCCATGAGCCTCGGTGGATACCTAAAACTGCAAATAGTAGCAAATCTTATAGAAACAATAGTTTTCTGCACATGCTCATGATAAAGTTCACCAGATAGAAAAGAGGAAGAGATTCACAGGAACTAACAATAAAACAGGACAATTACAACAATACACTGTAACAAAGTATGTTGCTAATGCCGAGCTCTCTCAGAATATTAGATTGTGCTCTCCTGCCATTCTTGTGACACTATGTGACATGATAC